GTCGAGAATTGATGCAAAATAAATTCCTCAGAAGCAGGCCTCATGGCAATGAGAGTTATGTTTAGCTTGTTTTGTGCAATGTGATGCTACAATTACTAATAATGTCAGAGAATTCATTTAGAGCCTGCTAGCTGAGACCCTGATAGCTACTACCTGATTAAATGTGGAAGCCTGGCCTTGCAATTAGTTTTCAATTTAGTTTGTAGTTCCTCTAATGATTTGAACAAAGTTTTTTGGTTTCTTTCAATTATACCCATATTCATTCCAACAAAGCCTGTTTTGTTCTCCAAAGTTATTACTCAGCCCATTTGGGCCAGGTAAAATGGCTTTGATTATGCCAAATAAATGCTTAAATAGAAAAACTTTTTTTTTACTTTGTTATGACCAGAGTATTGCATTGTATTAACCCTCCTTAAAAATACATTTATAAGATTATAGTTGTCTGCTTTGATCTTAAATGTTTCTATCAGTTGTGTAATTAAAGAGAAATTCAGTAGATAAATCTTTCTTTCACTTCTCTCAGGAATTTTTTGGTTTGCTTATTTGTCTGCTTACTTGCCTTAAAGGAAATACCTGAAACACACAAAAAAGCCCCTACAGCCATTACCTCCAAAACACCTTCTCGACCTTCCCACCTTGACCAAGAAGGCAATCCTCAGCCAATTAGAAAAGTCAATGCTCTCATTTCATCAATAAGAAAAACTTCCTTTTAAGGAATCACATTTCTTAAAAATTAATCTACTTCCATAAATTTGGTAAGTCGCATAACGTCTTCCAAATGATTTCTTTCATTTTTGAGCCTTGTTCTTGCCTCTTCTGAAGTTCTCACCATTGCCTTGCCAAGTGAATTAGGTGACCAATTGAAAAATCCCTAACGTGCAGGACTACGGCTGTGTGCTCCCCACAGTAGTAACAAATGTTTTCCTGTTTAGAGAGATGAAGACATCTGGAAAGAGAAAAGTATGTGTATTCCTGGAAATACCATATTTTATGTTCATCTCCCCAAAGGGTATTACAGTTGTTTTAAAATTTCATTATGATGAATTTCTACTCACACTCTCTACTACTTATTGGACAGTGTTTAGCTATACAAAGGGGGACCCTAAAAAAACCAGAATTATCTTCTGGAGGGCAGGCTCCTTGTAGTAAAAGCTTTCTCCATTAGGTGAACATTCTAGGAACCCATCTGTACCAGCGAACCAGCTGTCATTGTGAAAGGCTGAATTTGACTTCAGTGAATTTGTTTCTTTAAAGACTCTTTCAATGTGTTTGCCCATTTCATGATGAGTAATTTATGAGCACACCTTTCCACACTATGGTGAGTGAGTATTCAACAGATTTTGACCAAAAACAGCGTGACCCCTGTGCCCCAGCCTCCCTATTCACCTAATCTGGCCCCAAGCAACTTTTTTGTTTGTTTCTCCAAATGATAAAAGTCCTCAAAGGGAAACATTTTGCTGATGTGAAAAAGGTGAAACAAAAAATGGCAGAAGCACCAAAAGGCATTAAAATTAAAGAATTTAAAAACTGGAGCAGTGGGGAAAAATCTTGATACTTATATTGCATCAAATTTAGAGTATTTGGAAGCGACTGAAGTTTAACCAGGTAAGAATAAACTCAGTTTTTATAAATAAATTCCATTTTTGGTACTTATTAATAATGGCACTGCATCACACTACTAAGAATTAAAGGATTCCGATTTACTCACTTTTAAAAACTGTTCAGTGCAATTAGAAAAACATCACATGAACAGAACCCCTGGAGGGAGAATTCACAGGTCTAGAGCCCTTTTACCTGGGTAGGGGCGACTCTCGGTGCTCTCTAGTATTATCTGTATGACAGACCTGTGAACTAGCACTTAATAGCTCCATTTAACGATGAAGAGCTCGTGGTTAAAGCATAATTCAGTAACTTCAAACCAGCACTAATAAGGAATAGATAGATAGATAATTAGATAAGAGAATCTTACAAATGCAGCTTAAATTTAAACAAGGAAATCATTGAATGTCATAAAAAATCATACGGCACTATTATAAGTAAATCAGTAAAAGTAAACAAACCCAGAAATGTATGCGTTTTTCATTCATAGATTATATAAAAAACACTTTCTAAAACTCGTTTTTCCTCAATAAATACTGTACTAACACTTTTATCAATAAATTATTTACATACTTTATAAGCAAATCTATTCTGTAGCCTTTTTATAGTTCTTTGGTTTGTTTTATTTTTGTTTCTATTTTTAAACCATTCAAACCACATTAAAAAGAGTATCTCTAGTAACATAATCTTTCATATGCCCAGTGATCTTCTTAAGACAATTTTAAATTTGGAATGCAAGGCAAATATTAAATTCTCAAAAGTGTTTTTACATGTTTATAAAACTATACAAAGTTTCTGCTAATCTATATTCTTACTCTGCCAAGTTAATTTTCTTTGAATATCATTCTCAAAATACCACATACATATTTTTTTAATGAATGCCCCCTATTTTCCTAACCTCGGCTGTGGAAAGTGCCCTCCTCACTCTCGCTTCCTCACGTGACATCCCAGTACAGTGTGCTCCTCTCTGTGTTTGTTTCTCAGATTTCTTTCGTTCAAGTCCCAGATTTGATTTCTCACTCAGTCCTGAAAACAGCAATCTTTTCTGAACTATGCCATCATTTATTTATTTATTCACGGATTTATTTGTATTTAATTAATTTATTCATTCTCTCGTTTGTTCAATCACTTATTTATTTATTCAAGAACACCTTTGATGACCTAGTGTGTGTTGAGGTTGAATATACTCCTTATAAACAATATTTAAAGTATTCTTTGATCTTTTTTAGGAAAGAAGGGGAAGGGCCCAGTTAAAGAACAAGTGTAAACGACCCGTGGTCATGGACAACAGGACAGGGATTGACTTGGAGGTGCGGCCAAGGGAAAGCAACGGGAAATGGGGACAAATGGAATAAAACAAAAATTTTTTAAAATATTACTTAAAAGTTAAAAGAATTTTTAAAAGCACAAAGTGTCAATGTCTTATATAACTTTTAAAATTTTTTACATAGGTATATATATGACAATATGAATTCACATTTTAACAACGTTCATGTGTCAGGATTTTTTAATATATTTTAATTTGACACTTGATTACTACTCGATAGTGTCATTTATTTTACTGCATGTTAAATCTTTACTTTCCAGTTTTAAATTCTTGATTTGAATAGAATAAAATAATTATAAGTGAAATGTGAATAGAATGAAATGAATAGATGTATTCAGTGTCTGTCTTTTCTATCTTTCAAACTGAAACATTAATCTGGACATGTAGATAGGAGGTATACTATAAATAATCCAGTAATCTTGCAGTTTGAAGAATGAAATTTACATATTTTTAGAGAGAGAATAATCTATGATCAATAAATAATGTATATATTTCTCTTGAGTGTTTTGCTTGGCTTGTATGCTAAGAAAGAGTGATTCAACACTGGCCAGGTAGCTCAGTTGGCTAGAGCATCACCCAGACACACCAACATTGTAGGTTTAATCTCCAGTCAGGGCACATACAAGAAGCAACCAATAAATGCATAAATAAATGGAAAAACAAATCGATGTCTCTCTCTCTCAATCAATAATAAAAAGAGTGGTGCAGTTACCTCATACATTTTAGAGAAGTAATACTTTCTCATTCTCGATAGCTGGCTCTGATTTTGCATTTCCAAGAGCAGTATGAAAAAGTTTTTCCCTGACCTACAGTCCTATATGCTAGCGATGGAAAATGGAATGAAAACCCCACAAATCCAGGCTAGGATGTTAGAGAAGATGAGTCTCAAAGGTAATGGCCATGTAAAGACATTCAGTTGGTGAAAATTATCCCCAAAGTCTTCTGTTCAATGATTTCCTGGGACCACACATTTTCACACAATGTCAAACAGTCCAAAAGGTGTTTTCACATCTTTGAAGGAGTTACCAACTAAATCTCTCTCTGAATTCCCACAATACTACTCGTCCAGTTTAGAACCATGATCTTCCCCAGCTCCTCCACTACTGGGCCTAATCAGTCTAAGGAAGTTCTTTGCAGGTGGTGCTGCTGCTGACCCAAATGCTCTTTAAAAGCTGCATTGCTTTTTTTTTTTGGAGCCACTGCAGGGATTGAATGCCGCCTGGAAGTGAGACAATCCCTATGGTACATCAATAAACAAAGAACAAATATACAGCAGCCCTGTGGGGTCTCTCAGAACACCATCTGACAAGGAGGGGCAGTCCTTGGTTAACACTGTACAGCCAACTCCTCCTCTGTGTGGATGTGGGTAATTTCTGATAAGTGTCCAATTGTATCTTGAAATAGGGGACACTGGGAGCCGTACAGGCTCCTATAGTAAGTGATTAATGTGTATTTTTCTGATCCTGACAGATTCCAAAAGAAGAGCAGATTGCTACCCATAAAACTAAGCAGCCTCAATTTGGAATTACTGGAAGAATCCTAAAGTCTTTGCAGAAATGCTGTGCTTAAACCAATGTTTCTCAAAACCCAGCCATTTTAAAGGGACCAGGGTCAATATAAATGAAATAAATGGAGGCTGAGATAAAATATGTCAGAAAATTTGCTGAAAGGTTATTTTAAGGTGGCATGTTAAAAACAATAATGGGCCATTAGGCTGTCTTGTTAAAGGCATTAGAGCCACAGGCCCAACGTATGAGTCACATGGGCAAGATTTTCCACTTCATATAAAAACTTCAATATTGGATTTCTGGTAAAAGTAAAATATTACCATTTATGTGTAGGTTATTATAAATATTGAAGTTCAATTGTAGGCAAAGGAGTAAGCAAAGTATTAATACCTCTAGAAATGTACTATCAAAATATTACACATTATAATTAGTATTACAACATAGACTTGGATGTAATTTTTTTCTTTATAACTAAGTATGCATTTAAAAAATCTTTTGGCTTTCCATTGTACATGCAGGCATACTGCTTTCTGCAAGCAAGCATCCCTTTGTCAAAGGCATTAGCTGATTTCTTTTTATTTATCTGCTTTTGTTTTTTGTCATCCTTGTGCAGGGACCGTGCTGATCTTCTCTGCACCATTGCAATTTTAGTACCTGTGCTGCAGAAGTGAGCACAGTTCATTTATTCTTAAAACAAAATTTTGAGCACCTCCAATGACTAAGGTAAGAAACTAGATAATTTAGGACTTAAATAATTTATAAGAAATGATGTTCTCACCCTCTAATGTGGAACCAGTCAGGTGCTCAATGTGTGAGGTGAGCGTGACTTTGTCTATTCTGTGCACTGCTGAGTTTCCAGGATCAACAACAAAATCAGTTACAGAAAACATCGAAGTATTTGTTTTAAAAGGATTTATACATTCTTATTGTTTCAAAAATCACCTGAATAATATATTATTGTAGTCCTTTCTGACTGTTACCTATGATTTCAGAGCTTAAACAGTATTAATTCATTTTCTTAATTTAATTTTGCAATGCTTAATATTGAAAAAATTTTGTTCCTACAAAGGCTTTATGGGTTGTTGATGGTAAAGAAAAAATAATAATTTTAAAGGACATGAAAGTCTCCAGTGAATTTGTTTGGCTGGGAAACTTGTCCTTGATTTTTTCAAATTATTGATTTATTTGTTTTTTATTTGTTTGCCTCTTTTTAGTTTTAGACTATTAGTAACATACCCTCAACAATAAAAATACTGCATATGTGTATTTTTTACACATATATAAATAACTACCATTTAGGTACAATGTTTTATGCGACCTATAGTAGTTAACTCACTTGCTTCTTCCTGATGGAAACTGAAAATCTTTAAATGGTTTTGGTTATTTTAAAGTAACCAAACACATGTTCATATGTTTATGTGAACATATATATATATTTATGCTACCACACATTGCCTATTTAATTAATTTCTGAATGTCTTGGATTGGCATTTTTCTAATCTTTAAAATTAATTGAAAAAAGTCTTTATTTTCCACCCAGCTGTGCTCATGAGTTTTGCAAGGAGCCGACATGGGAGCCCAGTGCTGGGACACAGCAGAGCCCCAGCAGGCAAGGCAGACTGAGCAAACTCTGGGGCTCCATAACACAAGTTAACTCCTTGAATGGGGTGGGAGAGGGGTGTTTGGAAAGGAAAAGGAACAGGAAAGAATCAGGGTATAGCAGAAACTGCAGGTGCTAGACCTTGCAGATGCTTGGATTACAGGAAACTCATACAAATGATGATGGTGCACAGAATAGATACGGAAAAGATAAAAAGACACAGGATCACAAGATACACATCTCCACTTAGAAAATCCTGGGTGAGATTACCAAAAACACCTCTTGGGAGTGTTGTGCTTTAGTCCCATTGACTGGATCACTGAACAGTACATTTTTTTCACTTCCAATTTTTGTGCTTTGGCTGAGCTAGGAAATCTCATGATTTTGCTTTACGACACATGCTTTAAGAAAACCTGTTATTTCTGCTATTCTGTTCTGCCCTGTCTCTATAGAAGGCTGGCCTTGAGAGGAATTTAGGATTTCCGTGCAGTGAGCAAATGCGGGGAAACAACACGATGTTATTTATGTACCTGGAGCACTGGTGATGGCAGCGGGTCCCAGCGTTGGTGCCTGAGAGGGAAAGGGACCGCCGCCTGAAGTTTTCCTCATGCCTACTTTAGGCAGCTTGTAAATTGACGATGAAAGTGGGAGGGGGAGAAACAAGGAAAAAAGATCCCCTTTTCCTGAGGGTGAAAAAATATTCAAAAGAATCAAAAGTATCTGAGAAAACTCAGGTAGTAATTCCTATTCCAAACATACATAAGTCACAGGCAACCCTATTGTCTGGTTTCTAGGCCCATTTTTTAGTTTAACACAACAGGGAGAAGAAAATTGGAGGTTAGCGAATCCAGTGGGGCCAGAGGTGAAGAGGACTAAATTTCAGTCAAGACAACAAGGAAAGTACAAAGAATACAGCTTCTCTTTCATGTGCTTTGATCGTCTTTCCTGTTTTACCCTTAATGAATACTTTCTCAAAACTAAAAATAAAACACTGCATTCTATTAAGTTGCACTCTTCTTCCTAGGGAATTCGAAATGGGTAAGTGTGTGTTTCTCATCTCTGAATAGGAATATATATTTTCATATGTTTAGTTCACACATATATACATGCATATGTATAATTTTCTTTTGCTGGGAAGCAGACAATGGGCAAGAGAAAAAGGAAAAGAAAACCCATACTAGAGACCCCAACAAATGTCAGTTTCTTTAAGTTGGTTTTACATGTAGTTACTGGCACTGACCAGACTCAGTCTGGGAAATTGGATTTGCAGTGGTGGCATGAAATCTCACATGTGCCATGAGAGGCTGGGGATTGAAAGGCCAGTAGATGTTCCTTATCCTCCACCCAGTGTTGGAGAGACAGTTCCTTGAACAGCCCCAAACAGTAGCCTCTGGAAGGTAATGAGCTGAGAAAGATGCTAAGGACGAGAAGAACGTTTAATGTCAAAATTACAGTGCACCATGATGCATGCTCAAGGTGAAAGTTGATCATTTGTTTTAGATAATGTGCCACAAGGTCTCATACTATTCTGACTGGGGAATAAAAACATGAGAGATGTTATCCCAGATGCCTTGATGTTTTGATTTGATTTCTCTAGCTTGCTTGTGCCGTACACACAGGCCACACATGCATGTCCTCACAGTGCATGAACACACATTACTCAGGGCCATGCTAGTCTATCTGGGTGCCGGGGACTGCTTGCTTAGCTGAGCATGAAACTTCTGCCCTAGTGGAATGGCAGTAATATATACATGGTCAGCAATTGTACTCATTACCAAGAAACTCTCTCAAACCATATGATTTAAATAATCATATTAATAAATACATGATACTTGCACGTACAAGTCACCTTTTCTCCCCCACGGATGGCTTTGATTACTTTGACAGACTAAGATAAGTTAATGATACAAATTAGGAGAAAGAAGAATTAAAAGGGTGTTTAACTCTGATGTCAGGCTGTCAATTTCCTATAGTGCTACCAACTTACAGATAGATGATGAAAATGGTTTCGTTTAGGAATTTTGAATATTTTAAAAATTGAATGGGTTTCTGGGGGAGGAAAAAAGAAAGAAAAATCTGTGCTTAGCTAATTAGACATCCCATTTGATTTAACAATAGAACAGGATTATTCTTTGAGCATTGCGATCATCCTACGTTACTATAAGAGCCTACGTTTTGCTCTTATAAAATGTATTTGTAAAATTTTGCTTGGTGTGTTTGTCTAATTTCTTTTAGTTGATATTATTTATACATTTATATGTATTTATAGAGAGAAGTGACTCTTTAATTTGTTTCTAAAGCTATCATTTCTAAAACATGATGCCAGATACCGTGGGTAAGTCCCAGAAACATAAATATGGTTCTTTTCACTGAGGGGCTAAAGTCTAGCAGGAAAAAAAATGGCTCACAAACAACCATGTTTTCTAGAATCATGTGAGTGACATAACAGTACAAGCAAAGTACTTTGCACAGAGGTAATATGGAGCTTGGATTTTTCAATCAGCGTCATTAAGCCTTGATTTGATCACTACATAACTACATACATCTTCAAACATTTACTTAATTTATTTGGATTTCCATTACATTACTTTATGTATGAGGAAAATAATACCTGTCTTTCAGATGACTATTAATTGAGCTAATACAGGTGAGACATTAAGAGCAGGTTGGTGTATGTTCGGTGCTTTGATGATACCCAGTGGTTACCCTACACATCAAATGTATCCCTCCGGTTTTCTCAGGTTTCTTCTCTGTCCTGTCTTCTAGACTATAAACCATTTCAGCTCAGAAATTATATCTTATGTACTGTTATATTAGCACTGATTCAATAAGATTTGAATAAATGTGTATTAAATGAACAAAGGGGTGTATGAATGTTTGATAATCAGTTGGCTAAACAGTATTTAATTGTTTATAGACTCAAGCAAGATCTGTATCCTCATTTCTGTGGGATGGTCACCTTTGTCTGAGAGATAGTATTCGAAAGCACGTGTTGGAAGCATAAGAAATCAGAACCCCGTCGCAGCTCATGTGAGATGAACTAGTTCTGGGGTCCATGTACGCGGCAGCACACCACTCTCATACTCTGAGAGACACATTAAACATTCTGAAAAGTATAAAGAAATCATTAAAAAGTACCTGCTCTCATATAGCTCCAAATTTAGTACAATATACATGTGCAGCAGCACTATTTATGTTAGAAAAAAACCCAAAGTACCCGATTTGAAGTGTAAAAATCTACCTGAGTTGAATTCCAGGGTCTGTCACTTACTAAATAAGTGACCTTAAGTAAATGACTTACTGCTCTGAAATGTAGATTTTTTTCTTGATTATAAGATAGAATTACTTGCCCTAACGATATCATATAAGGTGGGTATTTAAAAAGGACTCTTGAATAGTGTGTGTGCATGTATGTGTACATATTAATTAACTACATTGTACCTTTTTAAATGGGATGATGCTGTCACCAAGAAAATATGTAACCATCAAAACTTTCAGAGAAACAAGATTAATAATACACATTAAACAACAACTAATAGGGTCTGACTCTATGTCAGGTATGAGCATTAACATTTCAGTGGATGAAGTGTGGGTAAAAACTTTCTAAAGTAGAGATGAATGCAAGATTAGTTTTATGGACTGAGGATAAATTTTCATTAAGTCTTCAGAATCAAATGTATTTTAGGAAATTCTTAAGTTCTACCTTTCCAGAAACTGAAAGCTTAAGTAATTTGTTTCAGCTTCTTGGGTCTACTAAGTGAGAATTAAAAATATGCTGTTTGGATATCAAAGGCATCCTTTAAGTTCTTTGTGTTGCTGCTGGCAAAGCCCTCATTAGATGGAATTTTAAATCACTTCTGGTGAGGACAGTCCCTCGAGAGGAACTGATTTAGGAAAAAATAAGCCCAGCTATTCTTCTCAGTCATACTTATTTAATCATATAGATTATTGATACTATTAAGAACCATTTTACACTTAAAAATAGTTAATAAACATGGCATTTTTCAGAATATATATATATACCACGTTGACATGGTGATGATGATATTTGTGGTAAAGGTAATGATAAAATGGA